GGAGAAGGACAGATGGATAGGATCATACTACCCTAGAGGGCAGCCTGGCTTGGGCCCAGCAGTCTGTGGTCACAGTGGCCTGTTCTTCCTTCCCGACCTGGAGCCAGGAGACCTGAACCTTTCATATGTCCTGCCTTGGGGCCCAGAGGAGTGGGAATTTGCCCAGTCAGCTTGGGAGGTGAGGCCACCTTGCAGTTGCAGAGGCTTGAGCTCAAAGGGGCTCTGGATCTCATCCAGTATCTTATCTTAGAATTGGGGGTGCTGAGGCCCAGAGAGAGGAAATGGCGTGCTCAAGTTCACATGGCCTTGTATGGTGGAGGTGAAACCGGAATTTCCCAGTACCCAGGCCAGGGATCTTTTCTAGGGCCCTACCCTGTTTGGGAAGGGGGGAGCAGAGAAGCTGAGAACCTAGACCTTGGGGATCCTCTCTGTCGTCCTCCCTTCTGACCCAGGCCTACAGCAGCCCTGTGGGCGGAGTGCCCTTAGGGCCCCCCCTACAGGTGGTGGAGGACCTCCCCAGGGCAGAAAGAGAAGGACCACTAACTCCCAGTTCTTTCAGTGCATGTCAGCATATTTCAGTGGAGCATGCAGGATGCAAGACACCATAGGGGACGCCAGGAAACAGCACTGGTCTGAATTTTCCCGGGGAGGCCACCACCCGGGAGAGGAGCAGTGTCACATTATGAGAGACAGCCTGCAACGGAGGACCACTTGCTCATAAGCATTGTCAGCGCCAAGCCGGTTAGAGCCCAAGGCCAGGGGCCACTTCACTGAAAAGTAAGGCAGTAAGTAGAAGGAGGCAGGGATGAGGCATAGTCTCTGAAACGTGACGGGAGTAGGAAAGGCATTCTAGGCCAGGGGAAGAGCTGGAGCGAAGGATGGAACCGAGCTGTCGTTCTGGGTGTGGTAATAGCCACCTGGAGGGGATGGGGGGCAGGTGGAAGGAGGGGATGGGCCATGAGGCTGGGAAGGCAGCATGGAGCAGCCAGAGCAGAGCCCTAAGGCCTCAAATATCAGGCCGGGCATTTGAGCTTTCTCTCATGGTCAGCGGGACCACCGAAGATAGTTAACCAAACTGGGTGATGTGGTGGCCAGCAGGGGCTGGACTGCCCAGGAAACCCACCCTGGCTCTGCCATTATGAGGTGTTGGACCTTGGGCCAGTGCTTTGGCTCTCTGAGTGCTTTTTTCCTCATCTGTGAAATGGGGGTGATAACAGTGCTGTTGCAAGGATGACGTGGAGCAGTAGTGGGCTGCTTGCCTTGGTAAATGTTCAGAAGATGTCAGCCCCTGCCTTGCCTCCTGGGTAGCATCAGGCTGGGTTCGTGGAGGCTGGGATAGCAAGAAGGAAGCCCTTCTGAAAGCAAGAGGAGCTGCAGATAGAGGGGCTATTTTCCTTTTTACTCCCAGTCAGGGCAGGTCTGAGCCTGAAGGTACATTTGGTCCAGGTGGGCCAGTGTGTGAGTGATGAGGGCAGGACAAGAGTCTGGGGCCTGCCCACCTAGCAGAACATTCCTGCTGCGCCAGTGTGCAAGCCTGCCCTAGGTTGCCAGGCCCAAACAGCATTCCCACTTCCCCCTGGGATAGATTCCCAGGACACTTGAGCCCCAGGGAAGGAAGATCATTTACTCTAGTTGGTAGGAGCAGAAGCTTTGGAGTCCAACAGATAGAGGTTAAAAGCCTTTTGTTCACAAGCCAGTATTGCAGTCTTGGTTTCTCTTTCTGAAACAGAGGAATGATGACATCCACCGCAGAAGGTGGTCGGGAGGGTTCGATGAGGTATAAAGTATGTCACGTGCGTGGTTAGCACAGTGCAGCCAAAGAGCTGTCTTCACTCAGGGGACACTTACTGAGCACCTGGTGGATGCCAGGCTCTGTAGCCAGAAGAGGAACGAAACTCTAAGGAAGCTTGTAACCCGGTGTGGGGAGACAGATAAGTAAGCCGTCACCTTGAGACAGCGGAATCGGGGAAGCACAGGGTGTTATGGGAACTGGGGAGGATGTGTGCGCACACGTGTAGGCCTTCTGGAGGAGATACTATTTTTACTGAAATGTGAAGAGGAAATTAACCAGGTTGGGGATAGGGACTGTGCAGGAAGAATGTTCCAAGCGGGGGAGAAGTCACCTGCTGTGTGTCAGGTTCTTGGGGTGGACAAGGACTTGTGGGGCCTGGCAGTACTCAGGTAGGAAAACGTGGCCTGGCCCTGAGGTTTTCACAAGCCAGTGGAGAGGCTGTTTCTCCTAGGCTGTGGGACGCAGAGGTGAGAGGACGTAAGGCAAGGATGCTCCTCACCATTCAGAGCAGTGCTGCCTGGGAGAATTCAGCCTCCCATTGTTCTTCCTTCTTCTCTGGTGTTCCCCACCCAGTTCCTACTCCCCCATAATCCTGGGGGTCACCACACCAGGTCCGCTGTGACTGCCTTTGTCCACTGTGGCTCCCGTCCTCAGGCAGAACGTGCTGTGCCCCCAGCGCACTGCTCATCAGAAAGCCTCGGCCCCAGAGACCAGCCTCAGGGCCATTCCCTGGAGAGGAGGGGAAAGTTCCCTATAACGTGACCAAAGAATGTGGTGGAATGGAGGGAGGAGAAGCTTCTCCACCCCCCGCCCCCCTGCCGCCAGTGTGATGGTAGGCAGTGGGGAGGGCACAGCTCACTGCATGGGGTGCCAGGACACTTGGGGTCCATGGGCAGCCATTGGAGGGCTGGATTGGGGGTACTGGAGTGGGGCCATCTGTCTAGGTCCTATTTCCTGACCTGCCCTGTCCCTACTCTCCGTTCTGCAGGGCTGAAGACCCTGCTTTGCCTTGGGAAAGAACTTTGACACATTTTCAAAATAAAAGTGGAGAGAAATCTCCAGAGGGGAAAAAGGATAAATAAGCTTAAAAAAAATGCAAAAGGGGATGTATTAGTTATTTATTTTCAAAGTTGGGGGAGGCCTCAGCCAGCTCCCTTGAGTGAAAGTTTCCAGCCACTCTGACATGAGGTCGCAGAGAGCCAGGAAGTTCGGGATGCGGCACCTGGAGTGTCTTCAGGCCAGATTTAGAATCAGTTCAGCCAAGTTAGGGCCACGCTCAGCCTGCCTGCCTGCCTCTGTGCTGTGCACTGCAGGGGTGAACATGCAAAGGCCTGAATCCCTCCCTCCAGCTGAGGGTCCGGTAGAGGAGCTAGGGCAGTGACAACAACGACTGTTGGGCAACGGAGAGTGTGACACATGTCATAACAAAAAGGTTCAAATAAGCACCAAGGGGACTGGGGAGGAAGATTCATTTCTGGTGAGTGTGGGGGAGGGGTGCTCAGTGAGGAACGCTTTCAGGGGCTAGCTGAGTTGAGGTAGACTTTGAAGCCCAGCTAGGATTTTAATGGGCAGATCAAGCAGAAGGCTTTCTAGGTAGAGCAAATAATGTGATCCAAGGTACAAGGTGGGAAATTCTTTAGGACTTTGGAAATAGGGACATTTGATTTTCTTAATTTATTTAAAACTGCTATATTGAGGTAATAAGTCATATACTATACCATTCACCCATGTAAAGTGTACAGTTTACAAAGTTGTGCAACTGACGCCACACTCGATTTTAGAAAATCTTTATCACTCAAAAAAAAAAAAAAAGCCCCATACTCATTAGCAGTCACTCCCCATCCCCCCATCTTGGGCAACTACCGATCTACTTTCTCTTTCTATGGATTTACCTTGTCAGGATATTTTGTATAAATGGAATCCTATAACGCATGGTCTCTTTTGACTGATTCTGTCACTTGGCATAATGTTTTCTTTTTCTTTTTTTTAAAAGATTTTATTTATTTATTAGAGAGAAAGAGCATGAGTGGGGGGGAGGGGCAGAGGGAGAGGAAGAAGCAGACTCCCCGCTGAGCAAGGAGCCCAACTCGGGGCTTGATCCCAGGACCCTGGGATCATGACCTGAGCTGAAGGCAGCCGCTTAACCGACTGAACCCCCCAGGCGTCCCCGGCATAATGTTTTCAAGGTTCGTCCACGCAGAAGTATCAATATTTCATTCCTTTTTATTTTTCCTTTGCCTTCATTCCTCTTTATGGCCAAATAGGATTCCACTACATGGATATACCATATCCACCAGTTGATGGACATTTGTCTTGTTTTCCTTTTGACATTTGATGTCAAATGTGACATGTGATGTTTTGGTGTAGATGTATGTTTTCAGGACATTCCGTTTGAATGGAGCCTGGGACCCTCATGGCAGGGAGTGGCGGGGGACAGGGTGAAGCAGAGCGACCTGCTCACCCACTGTGGACACTGAGTGGTTGGGTGGAAGGGAGAAGGGCAGGCTCCTGTTCTGGCCTCACTGAGAGCCTGTGGCGGATGAGGCCAGGGCAGGGCCATCCCCCACCCGACACACACCCACACGGTTGCATCAGATCTGACAGCAGTCTGTGATGCTGGAGATAGCCTGGGCAGCTGCTGTTTTCCCTGGAAATCAGGTGCATTTGTCCCCCGTGTCCTGCCGAGGGCCAAAATCAGTTAAACACATAGAGAAGTGTGAGCTACGTGGTTAGTCCAGAGGAGGGGAGTTTGTCAACAGGAAGCTGGCCAGCCGGGGGGATGAGGTGGTCAGGAAGCAAAGGTTAATAAGCCAAGTGTAAACCGAGGCTAGGCTGCTAGGCTCCCACCCCTCCCATCCTCACATGGGGGCAGTGGTTTTGTTTACAGGAAATGCTGCAAGTTTCTCACTGGCCCCATCTAACATATCGGCAAACAGGCACTGCATTAAAGGGATCTGCCATTCAGAGACAGAAGCTAAGGTCTCTGGTTCTGCTGTAAGCAGCAGGCTTGGTAAAACCTGGGCCTTGCCCTCAGCGCTGTGCCTGTTTTTGAGTTCGCAGGAAAATACAGGACACAAAAACAAGAAAGAGTTTTAGTCTCCTAAAAAAGAATACCAAACCTCACCCTAACCCCAAAGTGAAGACACAAAACAGGGCTTTAATTACCATCTTTTCTTCCTTTCCTTCTTTTTTTTTTTTTGTTTTCCAGCCAGAAAACATTATGTTGTTAGACAAAAATATTCCCATTCCACACATCAAGCTGATTGACTTTGGCCTGGCTCATGAAATAGAAGATGGAGTTGAATTTAAGAACATTTTTGGGACGCCAGAATTTGTTGGTGAGTTATAGGCCTGTTTCTCTCCCACAAAAGCATCTGGGATCAAAAGGTAGAGAAATTCCGGGAATAAACCCTGTGTTTAGGGCTGTGGTCTCTGGGCTGAGAGGTGATGCCTTGGAGAGCGCCCCCCCCCCCCCGCCTTAGAAATAAAATGTCCTGCTGGTCTTCTAGGTAAGAGTTCGGGTGCTGGCTTTGAGCACCCAGTGGGGGAGGGGGAGGCCAGGTGGAGCTACAGGTCTTTTCCGAGTCAGACCCTCCCGGAGCTGGCCCCACCCCCTGCTCTTAGTTGAATTTATTGTGAAGATTTAAAATTACTTCGCCCTCTGGCATTCCCATAAACTCCAATTTCTCTGGAGCAGCTTTTGATTTCCTGAAAAGGAAAAGGGAAATCATCTGCCAAATGCCAGATCCGCCCACTCACCTCTCCTGTGTGCCTGGCCTTTATTCGTGCATGGGGGGTGGGCAGCACCAGGAGCAGGGCCCTGGCAGCACTGTCTTCCCTCTGCTTCTCTCAGCCTTGGCTCAGGCCCCAGAAACCCCCTCATGGGACTGGGGCTGCAGGCTGGGGGTCCTGTCTGAGAGACAGCCTTGCAGAGGGGAGAGGAATGAGAACTGAGGACCACCGTCTCTCTGCTTTGGGAGTTGGAGTGGTCTTGGAAATGGAGGGAGGGTGTGGTCTCCACCAAACCTGGAGGCGGAAACTTCTGACCACAGTCTAATCAAAAAGGAAAATAGAATGTGTCAGATCATCCATTCTGATGGATCCACGGCCATTATAGAACAGTGCTATCAAGGCCCCACAGACCCCAAGGTAGGGGAACCTTTCTGCGTGCCAGGCACTATGCTGGTGCCCTACAGACATTATCTCAGTTAATCTTCAAACAACCTCATAAAGCAGATTTAATTATTTTCTCTATCAAATGCTTTATTCAAGGCAAAATAACCAGTAGGTGGTAGAGCTAAGATTCAAATGTAGATACAGCCAACATCAAAGCCTGTGCTCTTTTGGTTACACTGGGTCATCTCTCTCTAAAGACCTTCCCCCCAGGAGGCTTACAATTTAGTTGTGGAAACAAGACATCAAACCATAAAGTAAGAGTGCTAGAAGGATCTTTTTAGGTCATCTGGTCTAGTTTAACAAATGTGGAATTGGAAGGCTAGGGGATTTTAGTTAAGGTCAAGCAATGGTTATTCTTCATCTACTGTTTAACAGATATTAGGTGAGGTACTGGAGACACAGTCATGGCAAGGAGTAACACTCAGAATGACACATCCAAGGTCACACAGTGAGTTGGTGGCAGAGCCAACTTGAACCCGGGGCACAAGACATCTGTTCTTGAACTTTGTCCAAGATAGCAGTTGCTGTCCACTATTCACATATGTAGATAAAATGCATATATTTATTTAGTTAAGTTCATACCAAGTGTTAATCAACAACAAATGGTTCAACAAGAAATTCAGGGCAATAGTGGAAGAAGTGTCACAAGACAGGATGTGATTAATTATAAAGTGAATGATAGAGATATCTCTGAAAGACTATTCAAACAAGATGGCCACTCTGGCAAAGTCAGTGGGATCAGCCATGCCCTTGAGTCAATGAGAGACAAAGGGCTGGTGTTGTGGGTGGGAGAAGTGTCTGAAGAGGGACGGGGACAGAGCCAGGGTAGAGGAGGAGCACATCCCAGGTTCAGTCGTTTATAGCAGGGCCCAAATTAGTGCATTTATTGGGGATACTTCACTGTCCACTGCGGATGGAGCAGAGAGTTCCCATCAGACTGGCCACGTGAGTGGGATATTGATGAGTAGGCCAGACTGTGGAGGTTTTTAACCAGTGGTATGCTGTTTAATGTCTAAGAACGGGGTCTCAAAACAAAACAAAACAAAACAAAACACAACCCTAATTTATAGCATTTGCCAATTTTAAGCTACCAACTTGTCACTGAATTTAGGGTTGGGAAGAGATGCACACAGTTGACTCTGGTGAGCCAGCATGACCAAGCTCCAGCCCAGAACTGATTTTGTTTGCACCTTACAGATATATAAGGTGACTTCTTTAGGTCCCTGCCCAAATTATGATGACTTTCTTTACCCAGGACTCCTGAGAAACAGGGTTATAATCACTCGTCCTTCTCCTGCCGTTCCTTTGAAATTTGGACCTGGGGCACAGTGTTGAAAAGTTATTACTGCCAGCCTCTAGGAGTGTGGTGGATCTGGTCTTCCAAAAGCCCTCCTGCTACAAAACTGGATTCTTGAGAAAAATATTCTTTTTAATGAAATTATGAACTCATAGGAAATAAGAGAAATCTTGAAGGGTAGTAACTCCTCCAGCATCACTGGCCCCGCCTCCAAAGCCAGTGAAACGAACTTAGACCTGGGGCTGTGAGCAACAAAAGAATTCAGTAGAAGGACCTCTCCCAAAGGCAAGGGTATGTATCAGCGTTTCGGTGAGAGGCCAGCAAGACTTAGATATCCGAGGACATAAGATATTGAGTATAAAATAAATGGAATGTATATAGAAATAAAAGATAGAAACACAAGAATAAGCAAGCAACAAGAGACTGTCAAAAATGAGCAGGCAAATTCTAGAAAGAACCAGATAGAAGTTTGAGAGATTCAGTATATATTCCTAGAAATTTAAAATTCAGTGAATGGGTTACACAGCAGATTTTACACAGCTGAAGAGAAAATTGAAAAATTGAAAGGCAGAGCTGGAAAAATTAGCTAGAATACCACAGAAGGACAAAGACACGGGCATATGAAATAGAGGACAAGTGGAAGAGGGTAAAAATGGAAAGCCTAACATAGGTCTGTTTGGAATCCCAGAGGAGGGAATGGAGACAACAGAGGAGCAGTGTTTGAAGAAGATGGCTGAGAATTTTCAGAACTGTTGTAAAAACGTGCATCCTCAGACACAGAAAGGACGTGTAAATCAAACAGAAAACAATAAAAGTAAATTCATTATAGTTATACTAAAGCTAACATTACAGTTAAACTATAAGTTACCAAAGGCAAAGACATCTTAAAAGTAGCCAGAGAGAAAAGACAGATCATCAATCAATCAATCACTACAAATTTTAAAAAATTAGACCTACGGCATACTTCTCAAAACAACAATGGAAGCCGATGTCTGATAGAATATTATCTTCCAAGAGCTGAGGAAAAATAAAAAACCAATAGGGAGCATATCTCTACTTGCTAGATGGGATGCTGATTCATGAATTGCTTAATAAAAGTCAATTACATCCTCAAAAAAAAAAAAAGGACCCATAATTGCATACCCAGGAATGTTATATTTCAAGAATGAACAACAAAAAATTACAAATGAACAACAAAAAAGACAAACCATGAAACAGTTAACCACCAACGGGCATTTATTAATAGAACTCCCAAAGATCTGCTTGTGAATAAAATGACCTTTGAGGGGAAGTCTCAATGCAACAAGTAGTAGGAGCGAAGAAATGAGTAAACAATAGGCAAATATAAACACTTTCTGTTTAAAATGGTGATGATAATGTTTTAATGGTGGGGTTAAAAAAAGAACTAAAAGTTGAAGAAAATAATGTTAGGACAGAGTGCTTGAAATTAGTGTTCTAAGGTTCTTGTACTGTTAAAGGAAGGTCAAAACACTGCTTTATGTTAGAATTTGTTACATAGCCATCCTAAAGTCTCAAGAGTGGCCATTACAAAAATATAAGTAGGGGGGAAAACAATAAGAAAAGTAATAAAAAAAAAAAAAACAAGAAAGAAGGAAAGCACAGAAGAAAATGGACCAACAAAAGCACACAGAGGACAGAAGTGCGTGTATATGCATATCAAGCAGATAAGCTTGGAAAATGAGTTGTGTTTCTCAAACTCTCTTTGGTGAAAGACTGGGAAAAGCTATCTCTCATTCTCTCTCTCTCAAATAAATAAATAAAATCTTAAAAAAAAAAAATAAAATGCTAACATCCTTTAAAAAAAAAAAAAAGTCTTCAATCTGTCCTGGACTGCTTCTTCAGTGAGATACGAGAAAAATAAATCCCTAGAAAAATTATCACAATTTGAATGTCACGGCAATGTCAAGTTGCTCTACGAGTTTCTAAATGCTTACTCCCAATTTCTGTACCTGGTGTGTCTGGACCAGGGACTGTCTTCAGACCGCACCTTGAATCACTGTCCGAGAGGAAGTCTTTCATGTTTGTGAGGAGACGTGTACAAAAAAGCTCATAGCAATGTTGTTCCAGTAAGAAAAGAAGTGGAAACCATCCAAATGATCACTGAGAGGACCGTGAAGGGAAGATGCTATATATCTGCTCCGTGGACTATTACATGGCAGTGAAAACAAAAGACCCTGGGTGAACCCTGAATGAATGCTAGAAGCATAATGTTGGGGGCGGGGCACCAAGTGACTACATCATATCTAGTATGACATCATAAGCTAAAAAATAAGCCAGAAAAGTGGTTCCTTGTGTCTCGAAGTAGGGAGAGATGGGAAGGTGGGCACACCCCCTAGATGCAGTGGTTTTAATATTGTTCTAGATGAAGAAACGTTGCCTTTCCCACTGTCTCCCTTTTGCCATTATGATCAAACAGGCTCAGCCCTTCTCTCTTCTCTAGCTACTCACCTCTCTTTCTCCTCTGTTTCATGGCCAAGTTTTTTTATGGCGTCGTCTACACTCTTACCTCGACTTCCACCATCCGGGCACTTTCTGGACATTACTCACTTTCCAAGTGCTTGCCTGCTGGATCTTTGGGCAGCACTTGGCCCTCTTTTGTCCTGGGTAGAATCTTCTTTCCTAGACTCTGCACCCACTCCTGGTCACGATGTCATCCACACAGCTCCTGTTTCCACCTGTACAATGAGTGACTCAGGATTTGATCGTTCTGACTCCCTCTCCCGTTCCCAGGACATGTTTGCCTGGATGACCCTTGGGCACCTCAGGCTCATCATGTCATTGGCCCCCACAATGTCTTCCTTCTCAACTCAGTGGGGAGGTGCCCCTCTTTCAGGCCAGACTCAGGAATGTGGATTCCCCTTCTGCCTTCTTTTCTTTATTATCACCTTCCAGCGCTGACCTGACTGGTTTCCACCAGAGAGTTCTAAAGCAGGCCTTGTTGCTAGGCCCCATTTCCCCTTCCTGCATCTTCCTCACGCCACCCTGCTCTTCCCCTTCCAGGTGTCCCTCTTCCTCACTACGAAGGCCTCTGTGTAAAAGCTTTCCACCAGAATAAGCGGCAACTTCATTTCTCAAAATTCTTAGGCCCAGAATTATCTCCATCTGTTGCTCTGATTTTTCCTTAGTGAGGATTCGGGAGGGAGACATTTGTCACCAAACACCCTAAAATTCTCTCGAGCCATGTCTTCTCATTTTCATTCTCCTGCTGATTCTTCAATATGGCTTCTTTCAGCTCCAGAAATTGTGAACTACGAGCCCCTGGGCCTGGAGGCTGACATGTGGTAAGTTGTACAGGCCACCCAGGTGACCTAGGGATCCTTTCAAAGGCAGCAGGCCTCAGACCCCGGCTCCGGCTGACATCCCCCTCGACCATGAAAACCCCTTTCTCCACACATTCGGAGCCTCTGGCTGCTCCAAGTGTGCTGGACCCGCGGCCCAGGCAGCTGGAGGCAGCCAGGCCCGGACCTGAGGCCAGTTAGAACATGGCCACGCAGAGACCAGGGGAGAAGAGAGGCTGCAGGTACAGGCTCAGCCCTGAGGCCTGCCACAGCCATGAAAAAGAAATAGTAACAATAGCTCATTCTGTTAACCAAGTGATCACTGAGAGCCTCTTAGGCTCTAAGCACTGGGTGGGGCCCGGGGATACTGGAGTGGATTTTCTGCACAGAGAGGACTCATTTCATTTGCACAGGGCTTTATAGTTGTCTGAGTACCCTGATTGCCTGGTTTTCTAAAATCCACGCAGCCCGTTTGTGAGGTAGTTTTCATTACCCTCATTTTATGACCAGAAAGAGGCTCAGAGATGGATGATAAGGGACTTGTCCCAATCACAGCCTGCAAGTGCAAGAGCCTGATCTTGAACTCGGGTCCTTGGATTGAATGTCCAGAGCTCGATGACTCCAGACACATCCCTGGCTGCTGCTGAGGGGCAGGATGGAGGGGGTCATGGGCTTGAGATGGCATCTTTAGGCTGCCGTGGAGGGGCAAGTGACCCCTTCCCCTGAGGACCGTGCGGGGGAGTCCCTTGCTGGGCTGGGACCAGAGCCAGGTGGCTCTGACTCGCCTGTTTTTTGTTTTTCAGGAGCATAGGCGTCATCACGTACATCCTGTGAGTATTCCCGATGCCGGGGCGCCGACCTAGCTTGGATCCAGGGGACCCGGGAGGAATGAGAGAGGGGCAGGCCGACTGAATTTACTGATTTTCCTCATTTCCTCATTTCCCATGAGCCAGATGTGTTCGATCCAGATGGCACACCTGGCGGTCTGTGCTCTTAGCTCCGTTTCAGACGCTCGGCCCCGGGGTGGAGGTGGAGCCTTTTCAGCATCCCCACTGTGGCCAGGCACACCGGCTCAGCCTCACCCAGGCTGCACGTCCTGTGACAAAGTAGGCTTTCGCCCAGAAGCCTTGGTCCGGCCCTCGGGGCTGCCGTGCCTTCCCCGATCCCGCATCTTTCTCCCCCCTCTCCCCTTCCTTCCCCAATTCTCACAAGCTCCCCTGTTTCTCCCCAGAGCCTCTTTCCCAGCCCCAAAGTATTAAGTTGCTTAAGCAGCCATTTGCCGTGGAGCTCCATGTGCAGTGGATCTGTCACTTTCGATCTCTGTGGCCTTGGGCAGATACTTAACCTCTGGGCCTGTTTTCCTCATCAGGAAAATAAGAATCTCAAACTTCCTGCCCACGGGTGTGCTGGGCGGCTTAGATGAGCCGCCACGTGCAAAGCTACCGGTGCGGCTCTGGCACGTGGCACGTGGCACGTGGCTGATGAGTCAGCGTGCATTCCAGCAGTGCTTCCCCACAGGCTTCCCCTCACCGCACACCTGGGACGTGATATTTTTAGGGCACACTGGGTAAGAGTCCGCCCGCAGCCAGAGGCGCCGTGGGGGCTCCAGCGCCCCACACCCCTGTCCGCCAGTTCTCTGACTTTTCCAGCAGCCCACAGACTGGGAGCTCTGTACGACGTGGTGGACCCCCCTGAGCTGCAGAGGAAGGTCTCGATCCTGGCTGCACGTTAGACCTTTTAATACCTACCGCTGCCCAGGCCCGCTGCAGATCTATTATCTCAGAATTGCTAGGGATGGAGTCTGGGCATCAATATTTTTTAATTAGTTTTTTAAAAAAGATTTATGTGTTTACTGAGAGAGAGAGCGCACACGTGCGCACAAGTTGGGGAAGGGGCAGAGGGAGAGGGGAGGGAGAATCCTCAAGCAGACTCCCCGCAGAGCGCAGAGCCCCACGAAAGGCTCTATCCCAGGACCCTGAGATTATGACCTGAGCCGACATCAAGAGTCAGACACTTAATTGACTGAGCCACCCAGGTGCGCCTGGGCATCAGTACTTTTTAAAAGCCCCAGAGGAATTGGATGCAGAGAAAGAGAATCTGATGCAGTGCTCGATGGTTCCAGATTCTGTGTTGGCTCTTGAAACCTTGATTTTTTTTTTCAAAACTCTGATTTCCGTATTGAAATATTGAGGAATTTCAGTGTGTACAAGGCACATAGCCTTCTTGCAGCTCATTGGAGTCCCACACCATTTCTTGAGTGCCTGCTCTGTGGTGGGTGCTGGGCCAGGCATGCAGGATGCTGACATGAAGGAGGTCTGCCCTGCTTGCCTGGAGCTCTCTGTGTCGGGGGGAGACACCACACAGCTAAGTCGCACTCAGTGGGACCAAAGTCACGCTGGATGTATGAACACGTCTCTGTGAGACACGGCTGGGAGGGGCACTGGTTTGCTGGGGCTGTGGAAGATTTAACGAGAGAGAGATTGAGATTTATCTGAACTGGGCTGTACAGAGTGAGATTGATTCTGTAGGTGGAAAGGGAGGGAAGGGCTGTCTGCTGGGGAAGGAAACAGTGTGCCTGTTAAGTGTGGTGAAATGTACTGAGGAGGTAGCAGGAACTAACTTCTGATGTCCTGCCCCGGAGTTTAGATGTGATCCTGTAGAAAATGGGGAGTCATAGAAGGTTCTTTGGGTTCAAAGACAGAAATAATGGCCACCAATTCCAGAGCGCTTAGAATGAGCAAGATTGCACGGAGCATTGTCAATGTATTTATTCTTTTTTTTTTTTGTAAAGATTTTATTTATTTATTTGACAGAGTGAAAGAGCACAAGCAGGGGGAGCAACAGAGGGAGAGGAAGAAGCAGGCCCCCTTCTGAGCAGGGAGCCCGATGCGGGACTCGATCCCAGGACCCTGGGATCATGACCTGAGCCGAAGGCAGATGCTTAACCATCTGAGCCACCCAGGCGCCCCAGTGTATTTATTCTTTACAAAATCATGTGAGGTGGAGGCTTTTAGGTTCTTCATTTTATAGAGAAGGAAACTGCAGCTCAGAGAGGTTGAGTAACTTACCTAGGTTCACACAGCTATTGAGTAGTAGAGCTGGGATTCAAATCCAGGACTGAAATATCAAAATTTTCCCAGTGTACCTTGCTGCCACTATGCCAATCAAGTGGCAGTGGGTTGGGGATGACCTTCAAGAGATATTTAGTAAATGAAACCAACAAGAGTTTGGGGCCAGTTAGATGTGGTGAGGGAATGGATGGAAGAGTCAGAGGTGGTCCCTGTGTTCTAGGTTGGGTGCATCCGTGAAGGGACATCATTAATCAAGGCAGGGAGCTCATGGAGTGAGGTTAGGGCACAGTGACAATGGCACATCTAGGGAGAGGTATCCCATAAGAGGTATCCCAATATGAGTCAGGGAACAGTAGATTTGGGAGTCACTATCTGAATGATACATTCTTGACAAACCCTGCAGGGGAACTTCACACACCTATCTAGGCCCTAATGGCCCATCTCTTCCCACACCTCTCAGGTTTGGCTCAAGCTGCTCCCTTAGTCTAGAATAACTTTCATCTCCTCTGACTGCTGACAACCTCTTCATTCTTCAAAACGCAGCTGATACAAACGTCAACTCCCCCATGAAGCCTGCACTGGGTTTCCCTCTGTCCTGTGCTCCCCCAGTCCTTCATCTGGTCTTCCATTATATTCTGCTTTATTCTGCTTGGGATTATGAAGAGCCATGTCCCTGTGTTTCCTCCCCTCCTCTTAAGTTCCTTGCAGACACAGTTTCTCTCTGTCACGTACTTAGTAGGAGCTCCATAAAGTAGATTGAATTCAACTGTTAGCTGAAAAGGCTGCTGACTGGCTGCCCAGAGGGGGGCAGGTGGTGTTGCTAGGAGCCTCCCATCCCCATGCAATAGTACGAGTCAGGGTTCCCTGACTCCATCACCCCCACCTCTGTCTACTTACCTACAGTCACGTGTTACCTCTCTGTGTGCTCAGCCTAAGTGGAGCATCCCCTTTCCTGGGAGACACGAAGCAGGAAACGCTAGCAAATATCACAGCAGTGAGTTATGACTTTGACGAGGAATTCTTCAGCCAGACCAGTGAGCTCGCCAAGGACTTCATTCGGAAGCTTCTGGTTAAAGACACCCGGTAAGATGACAGAGAAAGGCATGAGCTTCTCAGGTACTGAGCTTCTCCTGTCCCCTCTCCCAAAGACACGTCATTCTGTCGCTACTTTGCCATGGGCTGCCATCTGCACCATTGTGGTCTAATCTGGGCAGGTGCTGAGAAGTGTGGATTAGCTGAGACTTGGCATTCATCTTGCTTGCTCAAGTCTTTCTGCTTTCTTTCTTGCCAAAATAACTCTGTGTGTATGTGTGTGCACACATGCACATGTATGCACACATGCATGTTTGAAAATCAGCCTGTGTTTCTCTAGGGCACATCATCTTTTCCGGTCTGTCCCAAAGGCGCCTAGAACTAGGATTTGAAAAGGAAAGTGGCAGAGTTTCTAAACCAATTCAGGTGGGAGTTGGGGGAAGCAGACTCAGAGGGGCCAGTAAGTGGGAGAATAGGAGACATGCTAATCCTACCCCTTCTTAGGGCCCAGGGTGAGCCCCTTGGCTATGGAGTCAAAGCAGGAGATAGGCCGGGGATTCTAAGGTGCTGGGTGCCCAGAGCATGGACTAGATGGGACAGGAATGAGATCTTCAGATTCTAGAAGGCCATGTCCTCTTGGTCCCACAGACTTCAGAGAGAGCCAGAATGGGGTCCTCTAAAGGGCAGGGGCCTGGTTTCCCCATCCAAAGGCAGTGCTAGGTCAGGTCCCTACCAGAGCAGGAGGGACGGAAAAGGGCTCTGGGAAGCAAATAGAAAAACACCAAGGTTTCGTGGTCTGTGGAGAGCTAAAGCTCACAAGAGCCCTTATGACTCTTATAGAGTGTGGCGTTAGGCCCTTCAAGTTCGGGACCAAAGATGAGGGTTTACGTAATGTCACTCTACTGAGGGGCCTGCCTGGACCACTTTCTCTGGAATGCGGGGACTTCAGCCAGTTCCCCATCCATCTCTGCATCCCCCATTATTCTGGTTCGATGGCAATGGTCAAAGAATGCCACAGTGCAGGTCTGACAAGAGTAAGAATGGAGACCGTTGCTCTCAGCTTCTGTCCTCATGGATCATCACTGTTTTCTGATCCTCGTTGCAGGAAACGGCTCACAATCCAGGAGGCTCTCAGACATCCCTGGATCACGGTAAGGGCATGGTGTGGAGTGCCAGTGAGCAGGCAGGTCGGCAATCTCTCTGGGTGGGTGGCCAGATGCAGAGGGCCCACCGAAAGACCTTTGCTAGAAACCACCCACCCTCAGGCACAGATGAAAGCCGGGCAGGGGTGCCAAATGGTCTGGATTTGTTCAAATTAGGTTCATAGGTTTAAGTTTATATTTCACAGGTTCAGGTGACTTATGAAATGAAACCTCACAAAGCTCCGTTGAAACCCTTTATGTTTGGGGCCATCTTACAAGGCGTACTTTGTCAGAGGACGTGTCGCTAGCACTCTCAAAGCAGAAATCAGGACTCCCAAGTTGTAGAGAGAAAGCAATGACAATTAAAACCTCAACTCTGTAACCAAGGCTCCTTCTTTCTGACTTTCGGCTGTCAGAGTAAAGGATGACACTCTGACCAGAACAGGGCTCAGAGATGGAAGCCTGGTGGGGAAGAGAGGTGGCCACCCCCATGGCAATGCTGTTCCCTCTGGGGACGTGGGAGCACGAAGGCGACTCCCCGCCTAACCTGCTTCGTAATTGGGCTTCCAGCCGCTGGTCTGGGGAGGGAGGGTCTTGCTGTCTAGTCACAGTACAGTGAAGTGCTAGTTCAAAGCACTTTGCCGAGGGGTGTCTGCCTGGCTCAGCTGCAGAGCATGTGACTCTTGACCTTGGAGTTGGGAGTTCAAGCCTTCAAGCCCCACACAGGGCATAGAGATTACTTACAAAAACAAAACAAAACACTTTGGTGGGGTGAGAATCAGGAGACCGGGATTCTGGCCCTACTTCTGCTGACTGATGAGATGTGTACTCCCTGGGCCTCACCAGATTTCCCATTCACCTGCATTGCAAGGAGAGGGCTGGCTAGGATGATCTGAGCGTGCAGATGCACAAGAATAAGGCCTGTGGTGAATGGAGGGCAGGGAGGGCTGGAATGCTTAGGAGAAAGTCACGCTCATCTGCTCATTAAAGGATGGGGAAGGCCAAGGGCCCTCTAGGTTTGGAGTGGGCCCAGAGTGAGGGAGTCTCTCAGGCTTAGTGTGCTGAGTTGCCTAGGCCTGGGATGCCAACCGGCCCTGAAGGAGAAAGGTCCTTCAGCCCCCCTCTGTCAGCCATGGCCTTGTCTGCTCCTACCTTTGAGTGGATGCCTGCAGAGTCCTGTCTATAGCCTGCTTGCCTGTGTGAGCTCCCTAAATGCTATATGTGTGGAAACCTCCTCTAATGGCCATGGACCCCTCCCCCAGCCTGAAGTGAGCATGCAGGCAGCACCCCTGTACTCTTTAATCTTTTCCATCATCTGTGGGGATGAACAATCCCACCGTGGTCCTCCCCGTGGCCTGATGCATGCAGTGAATGTGTGCCTTCTGCCTGCACCTTGAACTGTCCTTCGGATCAGCCATCAACTTAATTCTGGCTGTTCTATCTAAACACCCACCAGTCCAAAGGAGAAGTCAGAGCCCCGGAACAGCAGAAGACGGAACCTCCCCAGCTGAAGACCAAGCGCCTGAGAGAATACACCCTCAAATGCCACTCGAGCATGCCCCCCAATAACACCTACGTCAACTTCGAGCGTTTTGCCCGTGTAGTAGAGGACGTGGCTCAGGTCGACCAGGGATGCCGTGCCCTGGCAGGGACCCATGACACCATCCAGGACGATGTGGAGGCCCTGGTCTCCATATACAACGAGAAGGAAGCTTGGTACCGAGAGGAGAGCGAGAGTGCCCGGCATGACCTATCCCAGCTCAAGTATGAGTTCCGCAAAGTGGAGTCCTTGAAGAAGCTCCTGCGAGAAGACATCCAGGCCACAGGGGACTGCCTCGGAAGCATGGCCAGGAAATTGGACCATCTGCAGGCACAGTTTGAAGCTTTAAGGCAGGAGTTCTCAGCAGACCTACAGTGGATCCAGGAACTGGTGGGCAGCTTCCAGCTGGAGAATAGGAACGCAGATGGCCTGGGCTCCATGTTCCACAGGGACGCCAGGGAGTCCCTAGTGGAGCTGCTCAACAGATCAGCCAGCAAGGAAGTCTTGGCCGGCTTGAAGCTCTGAGTACCAGAATCTAGTCGGTGATGCATCCTGGATGATTTGCAGAAGCGTGCTTCCGAGTGCCCTGCCAGGGCATCAGCTAGAATTATCCTGTGGGGTGTGTGTCTGTAGCAGAGCCTTCCACCCCCTTCACAGAATCCAGAACCAGGAAGGTGCTAGCTAGTTATTCATTCTGTACCTCCTCTCACCAACCTGGGTTTCTGGGAGGGTGGCTGGCACAGAGAGCAGCCTGTTTAAACAGCAGGCTGTTTAAACAATTGCAAGTGAATACCCCTCCGCAAACCCTTCTCTGGAGGGAGGATGGCTGGCTCTGGGGAGATGCTTGATAATTGATTTGTTAATAATGGATTTGTTCACACCTCACTTCCCATCTCTGTGCCTTAGGGACTGCAGACTAAAGGGCAGTCTTTGCCTTAGCTAGGGATAAGAATAAGCCAGTGTGGTGCTTTCCTGCTACAGAAGGAGGGATTTAAAATGCACGGAGAAAATATTACCTTTTATTTACACTGGCTTTTCACTTACTGAGCACTTCCGTCTTTGATCTTTTAAAGAACTCTGTGAGCAGGAAGGTGGGTGGTATTATTAATGTTGTTACTATTATTTCCATGTAACTGTTGAGGAAATTGATACAGAGAGGACAAGTAACTTACTCAAGGTCTTTGGTAGCTAGCTGGTCGATATGGATGGAACAGAAACCTAAGAAGCCTGACCCTCAGATGAGGTCTATGGGAAGAAATAGTGAGACTTTGCTATTAATATCCACCTTCACGTTGAAGTTCAGGTCCAGAGGTAAAGTTAGCAACTTCCTCTAGTTCATGTATTCTGCCAGGTATAAGTAGAATGCCCCATTCCTTTAGACGATTGTCCCAAGAAGTGGGTCCTGGAGGGTGCAGTTTGTGGGTCCTATCTAGCCCTATCCCTGTCTGAAGATCAGCTTGCAGAGCAGTAGGCGAGGGGCGGCATCTCCCCCTTTTCCCCTCTACCCCTTCTGGCTAAAGGCCCCAACCTTGTGTTAGGAATGAAGACCGAAAGGAACCCAACAAGAAGATCCCTTTTCTTATGTACCTAGGGCACTGGGACCCTGAAAGGGCTGAGAAACTCTGAGAGAGTTTAACACTGGGAAGCACAGGCTCAGTGGTCCCCGCCTGACGCCAAGCTTTGAGCACACCTCCCTGAGGACCGTGTGAGGTCATCTCCCTGGAGGGGCCAGTCAGCCAGCTCATATGGACAGAGCGTGGTGGAGTGTGGGCCTGGCACTGGGCTAGAAGCTTGGGGGTGAGGGACCAGATGGTATCATTTCAAACTGACTTCACAGATTCACAAAACACCCTTGTCGGATAGGCAGGGTAGGTGTTATTCCCAATTTGAAGATGCGGAAACAGAGAGGTTGTGATTTGCCCAAGGCCACGGTCGTGGTAAAAGTGGCACCCTTCTGATGATACTCTGTTGCTCTTTCTTGCTTCCCCTAACTGCCCCAGGCTCCAGGAGTTTATTCTCTGCTTATAGGGCAGGGATACCCAGACTCACCCATCCATCTATTGACAAATAATGTTTGAGCACCTGCCAACTGCCGGGCAGTCGGGTTGGCACTGGGGATACAATGTTGAGTGAAAACAGGCTCATTTCCTGCCTTCATGGAGTTCACAGTCAGGAAAAGGATTCCAACATTAATCTAGAACATTCTACAGGTACAGAAGTGCAGGTGGAACACATGCTATGAAAGAGAAGTGTGTAGCTGGCAGCAGGGGTTTGATCTAGTCGGGGAAGGCTTCCCTGAGGTGGTGATGCTGGAGGCGAGGTCCGTGAAGCAAACCAGGGAGAAAGAAGTGTTCCCGACGGAGCTGTCAGGGCTAGGGCTCGGTGGTGGAGGGGGCATGGAAGCTGGAAGGGAGAGGATAAGGTGGATATATATATGGTGTAGATGTGTCCGGAGAGGAGGCATGACCAGTGGTACTTTGCCATATTAAAGAGCTCTGCCTTCATCCCAAGAATCATGGGGAGCCATGATGGATGCCAGGCTAGTCAGCAGCCTGCGCTGCTGGGCGGGGGAGGGCACGGCCAGTGAGCAGCACAGATGGCAAGTGGCTTGGGATGAGACATGAGATTTTGACCCCATACAAACCTACCTCCTTTTCCATTATCCTGCCAGATCATCTCAAATATCATATATAATATTTGTAACAGAAGGAGTTTCTATCAAATGTAAGAAACCATATTTTCATCAAATATATGATGCATTGTTATTTCAGATACCAAAAATAAGAAAGAAAAAAGCCAAGTGAGGTAGGAGACCGCCTCCCCTCCCCCCACCCCAAAGCTGAAACACCTTCACTGAAGAAGGCAAACCAAGAAATAAAGCCATCGTGCAAAAAGGGAAAGCAAGGAAACGTGTGTTTCATCCTTAATGCTAGACGGAGGGATGAAAAATCCTCCCCCGAGAAGAGGAGCCCCAGGTGGGTGGTACTCACGCAGGTGTGCTTTCTGTATTTGCCCAATCCGTGTGATCCGAACAAACCTTAAGCAGAGAATCTAATGTCACACGGTCTGAGGTTGGGTGGCCCCTGATGTCCGACAGGAGCAGTGTGGTCATCCGGAGCCCCTGTCTTCACTTTGGACCCACTGTAATGATATGATGCCATTGGTTAGAAGAGAAGTCCTGATTTCAGAGGTCCAAAAGTGTGTGCATTTGGAATCGGAAATGGAAGATAGCGAAGCCCTGTTTCCTGTGCCCTGCCTGGGAGACTGGCGACAAGTGACCTGTCTCCAGTCTCTTCAAGAACTTACTCGCCCTTTAGCCATGTCAGTAGACCTTGACCTCATACAACCAGATTTCCTAAAGGAAGGAAGCCCCCAGCTGAGTAACTCAGGTTAAACTTTCTTGTGAAGGTCGAGATAAAAGGCACTACAGGAGTAAGACGTTGGTGCTGATTTGAGTTAAGGAGACTGG